ACAAGTGACGGTTGTTTTTTCGATAAATATTTTTTACATGAAAAATGTACATTTTGTTTTCTTGTACATTTTTATTCCGATTTGTTATTCATCTATTCTTTTAGTATTCAACTTCGAACACTTTGTGGTGTTATTAGGTTCCCCCGCCAGTAGACGATACTCAGAAAGTTGCCGATGATGTAAGCGGGATTCGTATAGATGATGTAAATGAAAATGCTACCGATAAGATTAGTAACAAGAAAAATGGTAGTAATATGTTTAAAATTAGTGGTACCTCTCAGAAGCAAGAAACAGTTGGCTCTTTGTCTTTTACTGTTACTGATGCATCGTCTAGCGGAGGAATCGATCAACAGCCCAAAAAAACAGCGGAAGTGGGTCCCGCAAGTTCAGCTAAGCCTTCAACGCCTGTAAAGAAGTCTACGGCTCGTGCGAAGGTTCCTTTTGAGAAGGGGTATAGTCAGGTGGACTGGCTTAAGCTTACAAGAACGCACCCTGATTTGGCAGGTTCTTACCATCTTTTTTTTTTTTTTTTTTTCCCGAAATATGTTTGGTAAATTTCTCTATTGACAATCTAACTGTAAAATCTAGCCGAACGAACTAATGATACCAAACTTTTGATGAAATTGCTTTTAGTTTCTCATTGCTATTCTGGTCCCGTCTAAGTAGGGTGATACGCATTTGTGACCAATTTTTCTCAACTAACTAATACATGAATCACACTCAACACAAAAATACTCGCACATGCATAGAAATAACCACTTGTTGAACAATTCAGCTTCAATTCATGTGCTTTGTCGTGCCAATTATAGACTATTATAGTCAAAATATTCTTGAATTTTCACATCACGTAATGTGGAGCCATGTGTCCGTTTTTGGAACTTATTTGTGTGCAGCTGTCCAATTTAGCTTAAGTTCTGCAGAAAATAGTGCACGATTAGTGTTCAAGCACAATCAACTTCTACTTAGTCGTAGTGCATAACTGAATTGTTTTGTGTTCATATTATATTGGTCTCAGGATTGAAGGGACACTCGAATAAGAGACTTATATCATTGAACGAAGTGAAACAAAATCAGTCTGAAGACTCCATGTGGACTGTTCTAAAAGGCCGTGTCTATAATATTGCCCCATATATGAAGTTTCATCCTGGAGGTACCCATTGATTTTTGTACCTCAGAGTATTTCTAATTATTTTGGATTTTCTTTTTAAACTCGTATTCTCTTAGCGATTGTGGTTTGTTACTGTCTTGCAGAATCTTTGTCACTAGTAGCAAGTTCTTTTAACTGTTTATATTCGATTTGTATATCATCTAATTTTTTTTACCGTACATTTGCTGCTGCTGCTAGGTGTCGATATGCTAATGAAGGCAGTTGGAAAAGATTGCACGTCTTTATTCAGTATCCTTTTTGTCATATTTTACCAACATTTTTTTTTATCAATTTCTACCGAATAAAATTAGTATGATATCCGATACTATTGCGAATCCTGATTCTTGATTCAGATAAATACCATGCTTGGGTTAATGCAGAATTCATGTTGGAGAAATGTCTCGTCGGCGTTTTAGACGTGGGCAAATGAAGACATTCGCTTCATAGAAAAAAAATGCAATTCTTTGCAACAATTTTATTCCCCTGATATGGTTGTAGAAGCCAGAGGCAAGAGATTCTGCTTAGTATATATGTTCTTACATATTTGAAAGAGGGGAGACTGATATAAAGACAGTATTTTTATCTATTGATCAGTTTGTCTATGTTGAGCTTCGTATTAGCCAATGTGTCTTTACAATTCTTGGCATTAATCATATTCGATTCTTGGCATGAATCATATTCGATTTATGTATTACTGTTCTTCTTCTGTTTTTTCTTGCATTGTATTTATATTTGATTGATCAAATTATTCCGAAACAATAACTTGTATTACAAGCAGTTGAAAATCAGCTCATGCAAATCACATATTTGCTAAAGTAACGCCTTATCCTTTGATTAGCCTCGAGAAGAGGCAGAATTCCCATTACTGCATCTCATCTATTACATATATATTAGAATTGCACGCCTCAAATATCTCGATAATGCAGATATATTGCTACTATTATTACATCTTCGCAGCAGGAAAAACACGGACTTCATCAAGAACAGGGCCACAGAGAGAGCCAAAGTCATCGATCCTCGTATGATAAAAGGAGCTGAAGAAAGTCAACCTGGTCCTGTCCGAAACCGCCGTGAACTGAAAACTGTAAGTCGAAAACTTCCCTTTGCCTTCAGATTTGAACGGTGCTTTCGCTGTCGTTTTAGCAGCGAAAGCCTCCACAAGCATCGATCCGTGACAGCCGTTTTTAGCATCACCAACAACAAACGAGAGATTGTAGACTTTGTTTGGGACTGTTCTGATGATTTGCGCAATTGCACTCTCTCTTCCCGCAACAAGTTCGACAGCAGATTTTCCGAAAGGTACGTTGAAATGTTTTGCGTCGATAAATTTTACGGCTTTCAATGATTCGATAATCCAACCAGGGAGTGGTGAAGTTAGGTCTTCTTGTTTTGGTGGGAGGAGAACTCCATGAGACGAGTTCATTAGTAGATGAGGGCCTTCTTCAAATCCTTCGTTCTTGACTAGGTTCACTGCAAAATAAAAAATAAAAAAAAATAGTTGGAATAAGGGTTTTATTGTTTAATTAGTAAACATAGATTACATGTCGAATACTGCAGAAACAGTTGGATCTAGGAATTAGACATGTAATAAAATTATGAAGTCAAAGTAGAGCCACCTGGTGAAGGGAATAACTAAAAGTCAGACCATTTAATAATGCTGTGAAAGCTAACCACAGTATAATAGATCTTTTGTTTAGTGTTTTAACATAATGCACAAAGACAGTGCATGCACAGCTAAAAATCACATGCTCTTTAGGAAAATTGTAAACACTCCATTATGAGGCTCGATTTTTTAATCGAATGATTTGAAGGCTGGGATTTTAAAACCCTTAATAACAAATTCTATCGAACGTGTTTCGATGAATTTGTTTTCACAACGAATTTCAAATCTTTAAAATCGAGATGTTTTCAGGTTATTGTAGTGAATTTCGAACGTATGTCATTTGAAGCCATATCAAGATTTTCCCCACCCAAAATCCTTCCATCCAAAACAATATGTATAGAACCATAGCAAAAGGCAATAGCATAAACAATTAATCGAACATTTAAAAACCTTTAAAAAACGGAAAATCGATCAAGGAAACGAGAAAACCATTAGAGACAAGAGAGGTGTTTGTTAGATGATAATTACCTCTGCTTGGCTTAGGAGGGAAGAGTTCTTTAATGGCAACGGCATCCAAGAGGGGCCCACAAGCAGGATCTTCCTGCATTCCCGTGTTATGAAAAATCACCTTCACGTAATTCGAATTAGCCCTAAATCCCCAAGCGTAAGTGTCGCCACCATTGCTGCTATAAAGTGTAGCCAAAGGGAGGTCCCCTGTTTGAGGAGGCACAGAAACCCTCAAAACCTCATCCTGTGCACAAGTTCTCGATGCACCGAATGTGAGTGCATACAAAGAGCCGTTTTTCACGGGGATGGTTTGGGAAATCGAGGCCTCGTTTCCGAGGCGAACTGCGTGGACCCCGTGTGCCACGGCAAAGTACATGCCGCCTGGCTGGGGACCACCGGAGATGTACTCAACGAAGCCGTTGATTTCCCATTTGGGGAGGGCGTGTTTGCCTTGGAGCACTGTTTTCTTGATGTCTTTAGGGCTCGGTTTCTCTTCGAAATTCCCATTTGGGAGAAGCCCTGATAAAAATATAATGTGGGCTAGTGTCAAAACTTGCTAAATAGAAACATTAATGTAAGATAAAGATCATGTTTTTATGGGTAAAGATATGTAGTTTTCAAGAAATTCTGCTAGGAGTGTGTGTGTGTGTGTGTGTGTGTGTGTGTAGGAGCTGAATAGAAACATCAGTATAAGATGAAGATCAAGTTAGCAGTTCAAGAATCTCTAAGAAAGAATGAGAACTTGATAAAGATCTACCAAGAATGAGAATGTGAAGTAAAGTTGTAACTAGGACAAGTAGATCAAAGTATACATGTAAAAAAAAACCCGAAACCCGAAAACGAAACCCGAAAACGAAACCGTAACATTAGTGTAGCATAAAAATTGTGTCTTTGGGTAAAAAAATGATTTTCAAGAATCTCTGTAAGAATTAGAACTTGGTAAAGATCTAGTGTTGTGTACCAAGAATTAAAACATGAAGTACAGTTGTAAATAAGATAAGTAGATAAAATGTTATGGCATACCTTCAAAAGGAGGTGGTGGTGCAAGAGCAGACACAGTGTAGAGAAAGCACAGAGAAAGCATGAAAGAGATCTTCATTTTCATTTTTGCACAACAGAATCAGCAGAGAGAGAGAGAGAGAGAGAGAGAGAGAGAGAGAATGGTCTAAGGTAAAGGATGGTATTAGGGCATCTGTGTTGTGCATTTATTTATACATAATAGAGTCTGTCTGTGTGTGTGTGTGTGTGTGAGAGAGAGAGAGAGAGAGCATGGGAACAAGTACACCTTTTAAGGGGCAGATGCAACATGGTGATAATTTGTCTGTTTGTCTCAAAAAAACACAGTTTATATTGTTTTAATAATAACATTAGGGCTTTATCTTTCTCCTTGATTCATGCAATTCCCCCATTTATATTATTTGTGTATTCCAATGAACAAATCATCCTTTTTATTTTCTTTTAATCTTTTGAATTTGAATTTTGAAAAAAAATTTAACCTTTCCTCTTAGACAAGAATCTAACTGGGCCTTGTTCAATCATTGATGCCAAATCTTACAAGGAAAAAATGTCGTGTCCATCTCGAGAGGTGTTATCGGAATCAATTTTCGTTCAGTAGAACTTCGATAAATTAATAATCCATTTAAATATTAATTTCTTTCGATTTTATCGAATTATTAGTTCAATAATTTAATATTTCACTAAATTTAAAGAATTTTGTTAGTTTGACTGTATCAATTTAGCATGACTGTATTACTCTATTGAGGTTCCACGTGTATCTGACGATGAATTCATTGCCAACATGCATCCCCACC